CATAGGACTATACACTCGGAAGAAAACTCCGATCATCCTCGTGACGCTTGCCTTGAGCCAAAACGTGCAGCATAGATCATTACTCACCAACTGCTTCAAGGATACCCGCAAGAAGTGGGATCTAGCTTCCGATACCCGCAAGTTGTGGGATACGGCTACCAATATCCGGAAGTAAAACTTGTAGCTGGGCGAGTCGGTTCATAATTCTGGGTAAACTGGTGCGCACAAATGCAGACAAACGACAACAGAAAAGAAGAGACAGGGACAAACGCGACTGCTTGTCCCTGTCTGTTCTTTTCTGTTGTCGTTTATCTGCATTTGCGCGCATCAGTTTATCCAGGAGAGATATCCGGAAGACGTGGGATAAGAGAGAGAGAGAGAAATAATTAAAAGGAAGAGACAGGGAGGTTAACCTAGACGAACTGGTTTGCTACCCTGTACGGGGGTGGGGAAAGGGGTCGGAAAGAGGATAGCTATAGAGAGATATAAAATAAATTAGAAAAAAACACATGCACACGCATTCAGGGAGTTCCAATCACAGTCGTTTGGACAGGCCGGTTGAACGCAGGAAGCGCATGAGCGCCTTCACAACCTTCTTCTGCTACATAAAGTCCTATCGGCAGCGCAGGAGTCTTTCTTCCGAAAGAGGCTGGTTGTCCAGTTCATCTAGTGCATTGCAGAGTGACTGTCTCTGCGAGCAGTATTGTGGGCATTCACACAGAATGTGCCAAGTTGTTTCATCACTGCCACAATGTTCGCATGCAGCAGTGTCAGCCATTCCTATGCGGAACGCGTACGCATTGGTAAATGCGACGCCCAACCATAATCTGCACAGCATAGTAGCGTCTCGTCGGCGTAATTCCGGAGGAATTCGAAGACTGAGAGTTGGGTTTAAAATACCTAACCGTGCATGGAAGAAATGTGACTCGTTCCATTGTGACGTGGTGCACTTGCGAGCAAGCATGCGGAGGTTCCGTGCAGCGTCAGTTCTGGAAAGCAGAATTGATATTTCATCGCTTTCAGTATGGGCAGAACGGGCAGCTCGATCAGCCCGTTCATTGCCAATTATTCCACAATGACTTGGCAGCCATTGAAAGGCTATTTCATGTCCTTCCTCAATGAATTGGTGAGTCCTTTCTGCAATCTCAAATACCAGCTGTTCGTACGGGCCGTGGCATAAAGGGGATAGAAGGGATTGCAGTGCCGCCTTTGAGTCACTGAAAATTGTCCATTTTTGTGGCTTTTGATCGCTGATAAATTGCAATGCGGCACGAAGAGCGGTGAGCTCTGCTCCCGTTGATGTCGTAAGGTCGGAGGTCTTGAATTTTCTTGTCGTGTCATTTATAGGTATAACAAATGATGCCGTTGAACTCTTCTGTAAAACAGAGCCGTCGGTGTATACGTGTATACAGCCTTGATACGTCTCGTATAACAAGAGCAGAGCAAGCTGTCTAAGAATCAGCTTTTTTCTTGATGCCAGGTATAGTTAGCCTGATATTAGCCTGAGTCAGGCACCAGGGAGGAGTCGAAGGCCTGGCGGCGGGTGTGAAGCATGTTGGCAAAGAATCGCGGTATGTGGTGACCGTTTGGCAAAATGACGAACGTGGTCTGTCTGCTGGTAAAGAGGCTAGGTGGTGGCAGGGTGTCCGAGCAATATGCCTTATATGTGTCCGGAGTGCCTCAACGTCGATATGTGTTGTGATGAGATGGTCACCGGCGATAGCTATAGTAGCCATTGTTGACGCACTACGAGGCAAGCCGAGGAAAATCCGGAGTGCCTGGGACTGAACACTCTGTAGCGTTCGAAGGCTTGTTTTGCTTGCATTGGTCAATGCCGGTAAACTATACCGCAGGAAACCGAGAAAAAGTACTCTGTACAGCTGTAGCATTGCACTGGGAGACATTCCCCAAGTCTTCCCTGCAAAGAACTTCAGTATATTACAGATGTCCATTAACCGTTTCTTCATGTACGAAACGTGATCGCTCCTACGTGGGATAAGGTTACGGATATCCACAATACGTGAGGTCTGGCTACTGATGGTTGCAAGATGTGGAGTCTGGCTACCGATATCTGTGAGAAATGGCATCTGGCAACCAATATTCGCAAGACGCAGGACCTGGCTACCAATATACGCAGAACGTGGGATATAGATACCGATATCTGCAAGAAGTGGCATCTGGCAACCGATATCAGCAAGTCGTGGCACTTGGCTACCAATATCTGCCGGACGTAGGATCTGGCTACCGATATCCGCAAGACGCAAATTCTGGCTACCGATATCTGCAGGAAGTGGCATCTGGCAACTGATATCCGCAAAACTTCAAACCTGGCTACCAATATCTGCAGGACGTTAAATCTGACTAATTTTTTCGTCCTTAACACCTTATTCAGTTACAGCAGAAGTGGTGTCTCGCAATGTGGGTCGGTCATTTTCCCGTATTCATGAAGGCGCCACCTGTAACGCTGAAGAGCCTCCCCGCAGATGCATCACTATAGAGAAGTGCATTGTCCTATCACGAGAACAGTTTTCACAACAGTGCATAATTGCGCAGCACTTCAATTCATAGGTCCGTGTCGCAGTGCAAGTGAGGTACATCAGTGCGATTTGCCATTGAAAAGAGGGTGTTACAGGCAGTGAAAAACTTTAAAAAATGTTGTAAGAAATGGACATCTGAGTAATTGGTAATCTCATAATTTTGTGATTGCTTACAAGAAAAAGTAATTGCATTTTGAAGACGCTACTTTTTAAAGAATCAATTCAGGTGCTGCAAGATGAGAGAAAGTGCATTCAATTACCTGTAGTGCATTGCTGGTAACGCGTTAAGAACAAGTCTGTACGCTGCCACTTTGTTTTGTGTACCAAAGGGGACTTGTATTCCTCAAGGCTGAAACAGAACCAGTAGTTACGGTCTAGTTTGGAGGAACACAAGTCCACTTGTGGGAACATCGGCTCGACAATACTTCTGTTAACGGGTTTTTTTTTTTTTCATCACAAGCTCCCATCTACCGCTTTCTACCGTTTTTTGAATTTGTCTGTTTAAAGAATTTTGTCGCTACGATTTATGGACGACAGCAAGGACGTCCTCAGTCTGTGATGTATGATGCTTTGAAGACGTTCCCCAGAAGTTAGTCAGAAGCAGCTTTAGCCACAAGAACCTAGCAACCAAACTGAGTGCCACGCGTGGCTGATGCTTGAAAATAGTCCGGCTGATTCGGTAGTTTTCGTGTGTTCAGCAATCTCACGTGTGAGACATCGCTAAAGCAACTTATGTCTTTGGGGAGCATTCTTGCGAGCCAGCGCCTGATATTTATGGTCAGACAAATTATAAGACTCGATGTGCACTTAGCTTTATGTCCATGGCGATCCGATATCAAGCCAACATTGTGAAGCAGAACAAATGTTACAGTCTGATTTTTCGGGCGTCTCAAATTCTGCTGATGGGATCTCTTTGACGGACGTCACAGTGACAAGTATGCTACTGTAACCAATGCATTGCTCAGCCGGGAGGACGTTAGTCAAGTATGGCCACTGAAATATTGGTTGATGAAAACATATAAAAAGGCTCCATTTGTGCTGTATTTTCAAGATATAGCTTGATGGAGACTAGGGCGAAAATTCACTTGTGCAGGGTGCACGAGTATAAGTCAACTTCGTCATGGCGGCCTCATAGTCTCCCTGGCACATGTGGGCTCCATAGTTATAATATTAGAGCTACAGGCAAATTGTAAAATAGTATTGACTGGTACGTAAGCAGCTCATATGGAGTATGAGCAAATGAAAACTATCATTCAAATTGCTTGTGATGCACGTGGTAAAAAGGGAAGGTCAAATACAATGTTGAAACATTGTGTTAAAAAAATTAAACTCGCGGGAAGCAATTATAGCTGCACATGTTAAATAAAAATGGCTAGCTTTAAACCATATTCCTGTCCGTCCCGAGTATTTCGCAGGGTAACACAAATTTTTATCTTCATTTCCAGCTAAAATGGCTTTTGAAAAGCATGCTAGAATTTCGGAGACTAACTACCTTTGTGTTCAAAGTCGAACCATTTCCAATACACTGGACGCTAGGATTCTCTTGTTGCACTTACGGTCATACAAATTCTGCTATCTTCCTTGAAAGAGTGTTGCTTTTGATCCTGCCAGAAGGTTAATCGTCATATAAAACATAAAAACGGTTTCTTTTGTTCTGACAAAAAGAAGAAAAATTTTACGGTTATCAGTCATACAGAGCGTCATGAACGTAAAAGAAACTCAGGAGGGAGCGCACTTAGCGTCCACAAGCCAACTTCCTCTGACACCGCTTTTAGCTGGTGATACATGGTCTTGGTAGAATTTCCAGGATGCTCTCGTTTTATTTTTTTTATAACAGGTCTGCAAATTCATCACGTGACGCTACTAGTTTTCTTTTTTTCCTGCACGTTCGGCACGCTGCGATCTAATTACATCCTGGTATCCAGTGTACAGAGCATAATAACAATCTCTCGTTGCGAGAAAGCTACTGGTTACGAAAGCTGCCTCTTTTTATTATTGTTTCAAGAGAACATCAGTCAGCTTGGAGGATTTAACTTATTGGAATTTCACAAAAATAGCTAAGCTCCTAAAGTAATTTTTTGCAGTTAACCACACAATGCTCAGCTTCTTCCAGTAGATGACGCCCTTATTGTGAGGCATCCCCGTAACCAAGTGGGGCTGAGGGAGAAAAACACGGAAATATATTTCTTGCCTCTAAGAGAAGCTACAAAAATGGTTTCGCTCCTTTGTGGCTCTGCTTACTTTTCTGACGCCTCTTTTTTGGTAGGTCCCCTACCCTGATCACTGAGACTGAAAGGGATATAACAAGAGTGTGTTTTCTTGTTTTGTATAGAACGGTGCTGTGTTGACTTTATAGTTGAGGCCATTGATATTGTTGTCATGTTATATGCTGTGCGGTTGTTTAATGAAATGTTCCTCCTTGTGAACTCTAAATTTATTGGACGTATATCGTTTTACTTTCAGAAGCAAGAAATAAAGGGGCCGATAGTCACACGGTAAGACTACCATATTCACAGTTGTATGCTTCTCTGATGTTCCAAGCAAAAACTTAACATTGCGCTTGTACTGACAAATGAAATTGTATGTTATTATAAACAAGTACTTGTGTCAAATTATTTCTGTCTTGCGCTCCAAGCAGCTTTCTTTATTACCTTGTGTCTGATAGGCGTTTCGATATTGTTCAAATTTAGCTTCATGGTTGCGTAGTATGTTTCATTAGACTACTACTCAATACCAGGAAAATGCAATAAGCTTTCATTTGAAGTATTTTTTGCCAATATTACACCTCGTGGCGTAGCTTGCGCCAATACTTAAGAATGTGTCTTGTTTTGTATGTTCATGCGCTAGCGCGAAAGACCAGGGTAGGGAAAAATTCTGGTCGACGGTGCTGGCTGGCCCATAAAAGTTACGATCAACGCAAAACAGACAAAAAATTAGGGGTTTGAGCCGAAAGCTCTTAGTTCCATTAAGTGGTTCAGCTAGAGATCCTCGCCAGCTTCCATTTCCAGTGCCCAATGACAAAAAAAGGACTAAACAAAAAAAAAAGCCAAGAAGACAAATTGAAGGCTGCTTCTACAGTAGCCTATAATAAAACAGGCGCCGTAATTTTTTTAAATATCTTTCTGTCGTTTTTCGTTATTGCGATAGCAGTTGTATGGGTATTCTAAACACATTTGCGGTGCCACTCTCATGTTCCATATTATTTTCAAATCAATAACACCACTCTGCGCATCGTATGTGCTACACACGAGTTAGAGCGCGTTAGGGCTGCCGATGTATGCAGGTCAGAGAAAAAACGAGCCGGCCATCTCTGTAGCGCGAAAAAGTCGCATCAGGATAGGAGTGGGGGAGGGGAGAAGGTTCGTGTTTCTAGCAGGAAATGCGTACTATGGCCGACTGGGCATGTGGCTCGCGGTCACACGCGTCTTTTTCTAGAGGATCACCAAACGCGTTCTACATCTGAACGTCTTGTACTTTTGTCGCAAAGTTATCGTGAAAGCCAGGACAACAGGAAGGCCACCCCTGTACACGCTGTGTTTTCATGGCAAAGTTATCGTGAAAGCCATCAACAGCACGTAGGTCACCCCTTAACATGGTATGCTTTCATCGCGTAAAATTGCATGGAAGCCGCAGGCAACACAAATGTGATCTCTGACGCCTAGTCGGCGCAGAAGCCATAGACAGCACGAAGGTAACATTGCAACGTGTGCTTTCCTTGTGAAGCTTGCGTGGAAGCCAAGTACGTCACTATGGTAACCCCTGAACGTGTTCTGCTTTCGTCAAAAAGTTTGAGTGGAAGTCATGAACAGGGCGAAGGCCCCTTGTAAACTCAAAGTTCCTGTGAAAACCATGTACAGTCGGAAGGTCACCCACTAAACACAAAGTTGGCATCGAAGCCATGGCGAGCCCGGAGGTCAACACAACACATTCAGCTTTAGTTGATTCGTGACTCAAGTATAAATCGCAGCAAATTAATTGGTATACAAATATTTTGCTGCATCATGACAACCATCCATCGTTCCATCGTTCACCATCGTTTACCATCGTTCAAAAATACTTTAGCTCTTATTAGCTTGTTTTCCGCCGTGCTGTTCAGGACCATGCTTGGTGGGGTCTTCGAGGAAACATCGGAGAGTGTTGGGGCTGCTAATTAT